ATGTAAAGCTATCCGAGGAGAAATAAACTGTGAGTTACTCAGTGAAATAAATCTGCTGATGCTTCACAATCTGTTAAGACTTCTTGACCTCACTGTAAGCTCACCTGACTAGTGCTTCTTGATAGCGGAGATTTCTAGCAGTTTTATCAACAAAATGAAAGCAAACACCTCTGACAGCTGTTTTTATACAAGTGACTGATCAGCAGTCACGCTGCTTTTTTCCCTCCCTCTAAAATATCCAAACCATACCAGCAAAACATCTAATATTTCATTTTGTCTAAGTGTTTATTTTTGCTCGTTATAAACTATTTTAAATTATGATACCTCTCTGTACATTCATTTTATGGCACGGCGCCTGTCGCGTCAAAAAGGGATTCAGCTATTCTCACTCATGTACATTGCAAAAATATTTTTTAATCAGTATTTTTTTTGCCCCATTTTTCCACTAAAATGTCTAAACATCCTTTAAACAAGATAAATTTACTTTTAAAATTGTGTAAGCAATAAGATCTGTTTGCAGGGAATATATTTTGATTTACGTTTATTTCCCTTACCCCTTAAATTTATTTCTTGCTTTAAGCATAAACCTTTCTAAATTTGGCTTGGTTAAAGTTTTTAAACAAGACCAAATGTATTTGCTAGTGTATAAGAAAATTACATCAATTAAATATAAATAAAGATATATTCTCTGAAAACAAGTCTGATGCAGTAAATGGGATATTTATATTTTTTCCAGCTAAAATCAATGAATGTGACCGATGTAGCCAAAGGTCTTGTTTGTAGTTCCTCAAAACGCTGCTGATGAAGACTTATTACTGCTTTCTAAGAAATCATGCAAAATGCAAAATTCTGTTTTTTTCCTCTCTGAGGTTTAGGTCATTGTAAACCAGCCACATTCTAGGCAACTCCTGTAGGGATTTAGGTCTTTTTCACACTTACTTGTTAATGAAGTGGAAAGCTTTAATATTTGAATGTACAATTCATCACCACACCTATTGTTTCTCGAGGATAGCAAAATAGTTTCATGTTATTCAACTGGATAAAATTACTCATTTTATGGTTTCAAGGGGGAAACGTATGAGTGTGAGCTGCAAAAAAGTTTTTTTTTTAATAAATGCAAAAATGCAATACGAATAACCTGAAAGAGCAAGATGTGTACATTCTGATACAAAAAAATAACATTGCTATCTTACACATTCTTACAGTTTGATATGTTCTTATATTTTAAGGCCAATTTTAAATTGTTCAAATGAAGGACTCTTTCTAGCCCGGATTCTGAGAAAAAAAAGTCTGGAGGTGCATTTGTTTTGAAATACAAACCAGAGATTAACATGATGTAAATTCATAAACAATGAACATGCTAATGTAAAAAGTAAAATAAGGCAATAAAAGCAATATCTTTAGACTTTAATTGGCTACAGTCATCTGAGGGTCAACTTTTTCTTCATGGACGGTGCCATGAATGCAGGCAGAAGGCATTCACTATGCTGAGCCAGATGTCCAATCCTATGGATTGATCCATTATGTTTAATGATGCTCTTACTGCATTGACTACTTTTTCATTTCAGGGAAATGTTTGATTCTCTGCTAATAAATTACCATTAGATTACCATTAGAGCAATGAAGTTTTGGAGGGTATTGTAGGTTGTATGATGATTTCGTTGTGGGTTTGGTCATAAAAAGGTCTTATTTATTACTTGCACTTTCTGTCATCTTTCCCTTGAAAAGGCAAATCCAAAGAGGACATTCTACTCATAATGATATAACACTGTCTAGAAGTGCAGTGGCAACTGATACTGTCTTTTATAGCATGTGTGCAAGGTAAACCTAACCAACCTTCCTGCTGCTTAATAGACCCGTGCAAAACAATCATTAACATTCATCATTTATAATTCTAGTTTCATATTTATTGTTCCTGCTGAGAGACCTTTTCATTTATTTCAGCTGTGGAGAGGAAAGCAGTAATCGGATAAAGGACACCCCATTGCCTGAAAATGAGCCACTTTTTTTTTGGTGGTCCTTTTCAGCTGAACCCACTAGGGAGTCCTTGCTACTGAATATTAATGGTAGATTAATTGATTGATATTAGTGGTTAAAAGCTATTTTTTTTTAGTTTGATGAATGAGATTATGTGATCTAATAGGTATTTTTCTCATGTTTTCCAGTAAAAATATGTAAATTTAAGGGTTGTATTTATCTATTACGTTACATCACTCACTGTACTCGCAGCTTATTTAGAGTGGGATGCCATTTGAACACTTTTCAGCACAGAGATTGATTGCCCTGAGAGAGTGTATATTTAGAGCTAATGCTACACACATAGCCCCGTAAATTAAAGCAGATGACTGCAGTTTTGACTCCAGTCAGCCTACAAGGAACAGGATGTGCACTCTGACATGCTTTCGGAGTAATTGTTTATTTCTTCTTGGCCTCAAACGCAGAAATTTTTGGATGTTACAAGCAAGGCATGGAAGTCACAAGGGATGAGTGAGCTTTCTTAGGTAACTGATTTTATTTCGTCATGTGTCAGCGTTTTGGGGCACCTGGACAGAACAAGTACAGACTGAAGTTTCAGGCCTCTTTCTTCCTAGCTGACCCATGAAAAATCTGTGTGCAATGTCCCAAATTGAAAAGCCAGTTCTCACAGTGCTCTCCCAAATGAATTATATTACACATACAGAGTTTGTATTATACACAGCACTGCTGAAATATCTATCTATCTATCTATCTATCTATCTATCTATCTGTCTGTCTGTCTGTCGAAACAATCACATTATTCACCACATTCATTAATACTGTAACCACCAATGATATTAAACTAGCGCATCTGACCCGTGGATGCCAAATGCTGAGCCAGTGATCTGTTTTCTCTTACTCTGTGGGTGAAAAACAGGGTTGGGGGATGTAATGCAAAGCAAAACATTGGTAATACGTGGCTGTTTGTCTGTTTCTTCTAGGAAGTCTGTGTTATTATTGTAGGCTGTAAATGCAGAGTTCATGGTAGTTCAACTCTGGCCATATTTTTCGGTCTTTCTACGCAAACCCTACGCAAAAAGCATAATGAGGACTTATCTTTAATCATCCTCTTTGTTTTAATAGTGCACTCTCTAGGTTTCAGCCAGAGACTCGGCGGCCTGTTCCCATCATGTGCGTGAGCATTTTTATAGTGATAAAGGCAAAGCAGGGGATAACTGTGGATAAACAAGGAAATACCTCTCGTAAATTGATTGGTGGTACCTCTTTACTCCTGTTGTGGGAGGAAATTAATAGCTTTATTTGAGCCTTTTCTAACTTCAACCTACCAGAGCTTTTCCAGTTGTAAATTGAACGGCCTGCTCCCTTTTCAAGCATGTTTTGATAGCCAATTAGTGTGAACCACAGCTTGGAGTCATTATATTTTGTTATAGGAAGAAAATACTTTTGTTACCAAGATACACTCTTGCATCACTCCGCCTAATACCTCTCAGATGGTTCTGATTTAAACTTTCATTCTAGATAACCTTAAATTTAAATGTTAGCATCAAGGGAAGTGAGAAATTAGCGGAGCGCTGTTTTTATTTCACAACCCTCTGGAGCCTTTAATTCATCATTTCTTGACTGTATACTTTACACTTGCTTTGAAATACCACATGCAGCTGTCCGCTTGTTAGCTTAAGTATTTTTATGACCCACACATTGAGACCAAAATACGTCGTATCCACAGGTGTCGACTCCAAATCGCTGCGGACGTCACCAGACCCCTTCTTGTCAACATTTCCCTCTGACGTGTTCGTTTCTTTCTCATTTTGAGTGTTTTTGTCCTGTTTTGAAAGACGGCTGTGCATGTGAATCCCTCCTTCATCTCAGACCTCTGAGTGGCTGCCCCGTTGCAATTATTCAATCTGCTGCGTGCATTTGATTTGTCTCCAGATCCCCATGATGTCTTGTTAACAACATTTGTCTTGTATTAAGGGTACATTTGTAAATGCTTGAGTGCAAAAGAATTTGCTCCAAACATTACTAATTTAGTTGTCAGGCATTTAAAGTAGTAATTGAGAGCAGAGGTTATAACAAAAAACACGGCTCAAGTATGTTGTTAGGCCCTCTTCTGCTTTTGGCCGGGACCCGGCGATATCCGAGATATCCGTGTGCTGCTGCTCTGAGAATGTCCCAGGTATTCGAACGGAAATATAAGAACCTTATTTTTGCACATTTTCGCGTATGTCACGGCAATTTAGCATTGAAATCTGTTTTGTGAAATTATTTGCAGTCCTTCTCGATTTAAAGTTCAGTCTGTGTCAGTCAGAAGAAAAAAAGGGATTTAAAATCACATTTAAAACGGGAAATAATCAGTTTTAGGATTTCAAGCATTTAAAAAAAGAAAAAGAAAAAGAAATATGACCTAAAATGAGAACATTTGCTCATGCTTCCACTGAAGTACTTTAAAACATCTCAAATCATTCTGGATGATTCATGATCATCAGGTTTTAGACTTTTGGACCCCACTGTAAATCCTTCCAGGATTTATCCAAAATCACCAAAAGAAAAGAGTGAGATTTATAGTTAAGAACTAGATCCCCTGTTTATCAAAATGAGATAATGATGATAATTTTGAAGGGGTTATGAGTGGGGAGGTGGATTCTGTTTCATTTGGTAGGTGTCTGGTTTTCATTCTGCCAAAATCCACAATTGCTTCCAATTTGAGTCAGTTTGTAAGTTTGATCAAAGACGGCAGACTTGTAATGAGATGTAATGAGGTGTGAGGAAACCATATGAGAGTCTTGACATTCTTGAACTGACTACTTTTTAGGTAAGAAACTCTAAGAGCCATAATAATTTAAAGTCACCAGATATTTCTGTCCACTTCTTCAATGTCAAAAATAAGCAGAATTATTTAAATAAAATGTTTTTGTAAAATCAACATGTAACTGTTATTGTCTTTCTTGATTTCAGAATGTAAAATAGAAAACTGTGAGGCATGTTTTAGCCGAAACTTTTGCACAAAATGTAAGGAGGGCCTGTACTCACACAGAGGGCGGTGTTTCTCCAGCTGTCCTGAAGGATTCACCATCAATGGCACCATGGAGTGTGTAGGTGAGTGAGCTGCACAAGCCAGGGATTTACAACATTATACTTGTATAAGGTTGTACAACAGCATTTTCTAGTATATATTGTTTATGTGTCTTTTTCAGTCATAGGAAAAATGAGTGCCTAGGTGCCATTTTAGGAAACCGATTTGTAATATGTGACCCTGGACCACAAAACCAGTCATAAGTAGCGCGGGTAAATTTGTAGCAATAGCCAACAATGCATTGTATGGGTCAAAATTATCGTTTTTTCTTTTATGCCAAAAATCATTAGGATATTAAGTAAAGATCATGTTCCATTATGATATTTTGTAAATTTCTTAACATAAATATATCAAAACTTTTTGATTAGTAATATGCATTGCTAAGGACTTCATTTGGACAACTTTAAAGGCAATTTGCTCAATATTTAGATTTTTTTGCACCCTCAGATTCCAGATTTTCAAATAGTTGTATCTCAGCCAAATATTGTGCTATCTTAACAAACCATATATCAATGGACCCTTGGTCGAAAAATTGACCCTTATGACTGGTTTTGTGCTCCAGGGTCACATATAAATTTCTGTTAGATTTTATCAGCAAAAATGAACAGCAATTTTCTACCTCATACTTTTACATTTTTGTCATTTAAAATGACACAATGACACATTTTTTGTAGTTAGTGCAGTTTAAGAAATGTTTATTATATGTGACCTTGGGTTTGGGTTTATTATATGTGTCATAAGGGTACATTTTTAAAAATTGAGATGTATATATCATCTGAAAGTGGAATAAATAAGCTTTCCATTGATGTATGGTTTGTTAGGATAGGGCATTATTTGACTGAGATACAACTATTTGAAAATCTGGAATCTGAGGGTGCAAAAATAAATATTGAGAAAATCGCCTTTAAAGTTGTCCAAATGAAGTTCTTAGCTATGCATATTACTAATTAAAAATTGAACTTTGATATGTTTACGTTAGGAAATTTATAAAATATCTTCTTGAAACATGATCTTTACTTAATATCCTAATGATTTTTGGCATAAAAGTCGATAAAAATCGATAATTTTGACCCATGCAGTGTATTTTTGGCTATTGCTACAAATATATAAAGGTTTATTGTATTAAAATACATTATCATCACACAATAACATCATATTGTTTAACAGTAATATATAAATCAGAATCTGATCTGGTTTTATTTTGTATATAGCCAGTATATTAGGTATTTGGTTTAGTGCATGTCACCAGATGTTGTCGGCACATGGCACTTATGTCATGGAATGACTTTTATATGAATAGTTGTTGCGACTCAGTTATGCCGATGGAATGATAAAACTGGAAACTTCTCGGATACCTTGTGCTTTTTTATTTCCTTCAATTCTGTTTTCTTTTTTCGGTGGTTTCTCAATCGCTGTTGAGAGGAACGTTGGCAAAAGGCCTGTTGGATGATAAGGGTTTTTATTGATTTATTTTGAAAATATTTCTGTCAGAAGCAAGCAAACACAGCACTAATAGCATTACTCGCAATGGTGGTGCTGGCTCCTCCAGGCTGTTTGGCCTTTAAATGGGGAGCCTCGACTTCCAGTGTGACATTTTGCCAAAGCTTATGATGCCTCACCTGCGTCAACGGGTCAGTCCACCACTTTGTTATGTGTATTTTTCAGTCTGTGATTGTTTTTGGCAGAGATGAGTTCCCGTTGACTGTCCTGCCCCCAAACACTTTAGACCGAAAAAAATTGGATACTTAGAAAATACTTGAAAACTGCTTGAAACCGCTCAATGCAATTGGAAGTCTGGAGCTTGACAGCTTGTCATTACGTTGAATACAAATGGAGCCTACCTCATACAATCATAACACATGCTCGTCTTTTTAGCAAAATGTAATTGGAAAATGTGAGTGATGCTGGATTTTAGCAGTCTGAATCTCCGCTGTGAATTCTTTGGGGTTTCCTAATGCAGTTTCTTCAACTTTTGTTTGGAGTAACTTGTTTCTCAGGCCCCCGTCCAGAGGAACAAAATGTACAAACCCCAAGCAATTTCTGTCTTTTCCCTATTGTCTGAAAATATAGTAAATTATGTAATTGGCATATACTAGATTCATTCAAAAAAATTGGTTATTCTGTTTTTGTTTATTTATGTCTGTGTTGCAGTCCAATGTGATCTAAGTGAGTGGAGTCCGTGGGGCCCTTGCATGAAGAAGAACAAAACATGTGGCTTTAAAAAGGGTAACCAGACCCGTACCAGGGAGCCCTTACAGCTTCCAAGTCCTGCCACTTCCACAGGGGCCGCTCCGCCCTCGGGCTGCGTCCCAGAGACACAGACCCAAAGATGTACCGTGCAGAAAAAGATCCCTTGCAAAGGTAAATCAGAGAAAGAACAACACAAAAATGTTGGAAAGTGGATGGATAGGAAATGCTTGTGCTGAAAGGAATGCGTGAAATCTGTTATCCAATTTCAATGCGCATGTTTGCAAATTACAGATTTGTTGATTTATTGATCATTTATCATTTTTGGCCACTCGGAAAAACATGTAAACAGTCTCCTGGAACTAATTTGATTTGGTTTATTTATGGTTTTTGACATAATACGGTGTAAATAAATCCTTGAGTGTTCCCAGTAAATAAACAGAAGCCCAGCTGGTTTGTAATCTTTTCGTCGCTGGCTGCGGATCTGAGGGCGGCCTTTTGTTTGTTGCTTTAACTTACTGGAAAGTGAGGTTAATATGCTGCTTTGGCTCTCGAGCGGGAACGGAACGTTAGTGGACCTGTAATGGACCTGTCTGTAATCTGTTCGTAAAAGTCTGAATGTGTTTCTCTTGACCGTTATACTCTCCTGGATGGCTTGTGTAGATTTCAGCCTAAAATATAGGAGTTTGCTTGGAAGAAAACAGTAATTTATTGTATGAGCCTACAAAAAAAGCTTTTAATGACCCAAACAAGAATTTTCAGCTCATTTGTTAACTGAGTGGTTACACCATCGTTCAAAAGTTTCGGGTCAGTTCGATTTTTTTTCTTCTTAAAGAAATGTTACAATTACTAAGCAAGGATGCATTAAAATGATTTTTATTTTTACATTATTTTACATTATTACAAAAGAAATCTATTTCAAATAAATGCTGTCCTTTATAGCTTTCTATTCACCAAAGATGAAAAAATGTCAAGGTTTCCACAAAAAAATAAAATAAATAAATAACAAAAAATTAAGCAGCACAACTGTTTTCAGCTTTCCCATCACAGTAATAAATTACATTTTAAGATAAAATAGCAAACAGTTATTTTAAATTCTAATAATATTTTTTTTTAAATATTACCGTTTTTAAAGTATTTTCGAATAATCAAATACATTTAGCCTTGGGGAGCATACTTTCAAAAACATTTAAAAAGGTCTTTAAACTTTGTGCAATTTCTTACAACTTTATATATATATATATATATATATAGTAATTACATATACAGTATATATACAGTATATTTTCAGTATACATTGTTGCCATTAAAAGATCCCTTAATAAATGACTCTTAAAGTATACAGAGGTAATATAGAAGGAATCATTTGCCCAAAATAAAAACCTTTGTGCTGCTTTAAACCTGAATGACATTTTTATAAATGAAAACAAGGATGAGAAGATGATCATAACTGTCAAGCTTAAAAAGCACATAAAAGTATGATACACAGTCATTATAATTTTTATGCTATATTCCTGAAGTCAATCAGTTACTTTGCGTGAAGACTGAAGTTTAGTGCGCTCCCTACACTCAAATCATGCATACAAGAAAGTGCAGTGAGTGGAAAAGAAGGAATTGCAACAAACCTCAAACCTTACTGGATCTTGTGTTTGTTGTCAATGTGATAGTTTTGAATGTCTGCAGGTGAACAAGATTTGAAAACTAAGGAAGTCTCCCACACTCTGATAACCACTGTGGGCTTTTCAAAAATAAAAATAACTCATTTGCTCAGATTGTTTTCATGAACGTTTCATGAAATTTACAGCTGAATAGTTTACAGCAGACCTTGCAATATCAATGCCAATTCAGAAATCAATCCAGGCTAATAAAAAGTGTTTGCGTGATTGTAATTGCTTTCACTCATAGTCTATTTTTGTATTTTCTCTTTTAGGTCCTCCAATATATATCTTCCAAACCAGAGATCTCCTTTAATTTAATCATTTATTCAAGCAATTCATATCAGTTTAGGAAATTGCATGATTCATGACTCAATCTAAGCTAATCGTAGCATCACGCTTTGGGTGGTTCTTAAAATAAACACCCGAACATATCTTCTAGAGCGCTTAGTTGTCTTCACACTGTTGAGAAACAGTGCGTTCCTGGAAATGACGTCTTATTCTGTGCGAACAGCCTCACAAGATCAAGCGCTTGCTGTTCTTCTGTCGGGAGAAGTAGGCTCCATGCTTTGCTGGACTAGGTGTGACAGCGCCATTTGAGAAATGAGAGGCAAATTTACTCTGCATGACGCCCACATTTGTGGAAAGAATTTCCACCCAGGGTCCATAAGAATAATTAACAGTGAAATATTATAAACTGCCCCATAAAAGTGCTATGTCGCCTGCCAAATTTCTAAACTTAGAGAGTCCACTTGTCGGAAAAGCTTTTGGAGAGAGAGAGAGCAATGGTGAAATAATAGGCATGGACACATGTAAAGTCATTTGTTTTTAGTTCAATCTCATAATATCATGCTTTCCCTAACTGTGTTAAGATAGGATCAGTTATGTGCTGGCTGGAGTCAAAACATGTTTTTCGCCAGACAAGCAAAGCAACACCACCCACTTCTCAGGGCGAAAAGAATAAATGCAGCTCAGGTCTCAAAAAACTCATAGGTTATGGGTTGCATGACCCGATTGCCCTCTTTTTTTCCTCAGTGCGTAAATGTGCACCTCGTGCTAAATTAGCAAGGCTGTGAATACATCTGCAGGAATTGGCTGACAGGGCTGCTGTAAAAATCACAGGGGGCAGTGCTTGTATAACACCGGTGATTTACTGGTCTGCAGATCTCACGCTTTGTGTTGATTTTGCCAAGCCCCCCCCCCTCTTCCCCTTCCTGTAGCTTAATAAATGTCTTTGCACGAAAACCGAATACGCTAAATGCGTGATTGCCTTTGTCAGGCAATGGTGTTTAGGTTGGATTGAGCAGCGCTGTAATTATTGCTGTCATAAATGAATGGATCCTCCCCAAGCGCTCTTACCGCTTTATCAAAGCTAACAATTCGCCTCCATGTGGATCCAAAGTTTAAAGCTCCATTTCTTTCCATGTTTTTTCGTTTCACCTCGGTTTTAAAATCGTGATTAACTGACACTCAAATAGAGGCATTTAGTAAACTCAAGGCCTTTGAATTCTTCACACGGGATTGCTGTTCTCAAAGCAATGAATACTAAACAATAGAATTGTGTTAGACTTGTTAAACTTCAGAAATCATCTCACTGATAAGACTGTGATATGCTTTGATACAATACATACAACATTTATCTCTGGTCCTCTAATCTGACTGGACGAATCTGGGAAGTTAACAGCAAGTGAGTCAGTGAATCATTCATTAAAATGATTAGTTCAAAACACACTGATTCATTCAGGAACCAAACAAGTGACTCACTGCGTTCCATTCAGAAGGACTCATCCCAGTTCTTTATTCTCTAATTCCTTCGAAATCCCTTCTGTTACTTGCAAACACGCTTTGCGTCATTTTGATGAGCCAATTTAGGAGGCACCATTGCATAATTAAAATTGGAAGCATGGAATCATGGAAGCAAAGTCTCATTCTGAAGGGCCCTTTGAAGTGGCCAGTTTTATGCACTTCGGCCCTCCAATATGGCGACCATGAGGCCTTCATAAGTGGATTTAGTTATTGAGTGAGTTGTTGAATTATTCAATTAGCTGATTTGTTCAAAACATACTGATTCATTGTTGTACAAAGCAATCACATGCCTTTACGACTTGTTCAAAACATGCTACTGATTTGTTTAGGAAGAAAACAAGCAAGTGTCTTTATAAATGAGTCATTGACTTGTTCACTCAACCGATTTGCTCAAAAACAGTAATCGAAACACCACTACTGTGTGTTACTCTGAAATGCGCAGCGGCTCTACTTTGGCTTTGTTTGAATTTTCGTTAGTGGAGCAAAATAAACTAAATATTGGGCCATATTGTGTCAAGTAACATATTATTACAATATTAACCTCTTGTTTATTCATCTGTTGTATAAAAGCAGTAGCACTCCCAAAAAAGTTCTGAATAGTGTTTGTGATTATTTGCAGCGGAAAAACAGTACAACAGCACACTTTCTCTTGTAATATTGTGGAAATATTCAGTTGTTGACGCTTCAATAATGTAACAGGCATCATTACAAACAACATCATATCTTTGATATAGACTTTATATATAGCAAAAAGAACTGCTGTTTGTGTTTTACAGGCCTTGGCAGTTCTGTTAAATAAACGAAGGAACTGCTAATTATTGCTTGTTTTGTTGTTAGAATCAAGTCCATTAAACTCTTTAATTTTTGCCAAAGAAAGTTGTCTTTTATGTGTTTACGATGATGCCATTTCAAGTCAAAAAATCTGTAAAAGTGAAACTGCTTTTTATATAACGTAACAATCAAAGTTTGTTTGCGTCATTTCCATTCTATTCTTAATCATGCATTTTATGTAGAAACAAATGCAACAGTTTGTGGTAAAACATCAGGGCTTTGAGGTGAGAAGAGAGCCAATTTCAGGAGTCGCAGAGTGGCTGTGTTTGTGGCTCATGTTATCAAGTGCAGAGTGAATGCTCTCCAGCACCAAATGAGTGTTGATTTTGGTTTCCAGGGAACACTGAGACTCACAACACTAACTTCATAACAAATATCAGTCAGTCTGGAGGCCCTGACTCCCCCTTGTAGTAGTGCAAGTGAGGCTGATGGGAAACGAACCAGCCTGTGTTTTTCAGTACTGTTTTTTGGACAGTATTACAGTTCTGCATGACCTAATCCGTATTTATAATTATTTATGTGAAACGTTTATGCATTTTTGTACATTTGGATATACGCTTAAATGTGCAGCACAGCTTTAGAAATATATATTTTTTATGAATCCTTTACATTCGCAATATTCTGTTAGTGTTTAGCTATGTTTTACTATTATAAATATAGATATTTTAGTGTTTTTAATTTTGTAAATGACTTAAAATACAAAATTGCATTTGTGTTAAAGCTGAATTGTATATCTAGAATTAAGTTAGTCAATGAATTTTTTTCTTTTTTAAAATAAAAAAATATAAATTGAATAAAATTGAGTGAGGTTTATTCTGAAAACAAGAACGAAATAATAAAGAAAAATACTTTGCCAAAGGGATCAGAAATATGTCTTAAAAATATTTTTTAATTGTTTTGCTTTGTTTCTTAAGTTCATTTACATTGTTTTAAATACTTTTTACTTAAAAACAATGAAATAATACATCTTGGGTTTTCTAATTGCAACTTTATTTATTCAGGAGAAACTAAGAAGAATCCGCAAAACCGTGGAGAAAAAAATGGCAAGAACCGCGGACGAGACTCCAAAGAAAGTGGCAAAGGGGGCAACAAGAAAAAAAAGACCTCGAACAGGTCCACCACTGTCCCCACCATTATAACGAGCATGGTGACCTAATCTTATGGTGGTGTCAGGTGGGCCTAAGAAAGGAGAATGCTTGGCCCATCTTCGTTGGCTGAAGACAAACAGTTTTTGATTGTGACAATATCAAAATTATGCAAAAAAAAAAAAAGGAATAACGCTGCTACACGTAAAACATGCTCAATGAGAACTGGAGGATTGCTGTACTGAATAATGAACTGTGTGAATTGAGTAAAGTTTGAGGGAACCAAGGAGCTAGGTTGGTTAGTCTCATGCTATTTGGAAGCATCCAGAAAGACTGTGCACTGTGCGTGTGCAGGGTCATCTTTTTGTAAGCCTTCCCACAGGAAACAACATTGTTTGTGGTTGGCGAAATGTTCCATATGTTCCTCTTTAGACCTATTGGAAAGGCTTCTGAACTATAGACATCACTGCAAATGAGGCCCGTCATCCTAACATCGCTTAAAGAACATCTAAAATACATTAGAATCTCTTGTGGTTCACCTAATTCAGCTGTAATCACATTCTTTTTTTCTCCAGAGTTGGATCTCCTTATGTTCGTGACAGGTAGCAAACAGTCTGGAGTCTGTCTGTGAGTCTGTCTCAGAGTGAAAAGTGATTTTTTTTCTTTTCTTTTTTTAAAGTGCTTTTTTATATCTGTTTTTTTTCTGTTGTTTATAACAAAAGAAGGCACTGGAACTGATATTGTGGTTTACAGAGAGAATGTGGAGAAAGAAGAACTTTAATGATGATGAAACTATCCAAAAATGATGCAAAAAGTGTTATTATATACAGTATCTAGAGTCAAAGCACTTATTATAACTTACAACCGATGGAGTGGTTATACAGTATTTTCTGCACAGAAGAAGGCAGCAATAATATGAGGAATGTACAGTGTGTGTGTGTGTGTGTGTGTGTCAAATATGTTGTGTGTTTTTGAATCTGTGTTCTTGCGTGCACCTTTATGTTGTGAAGCGAGGGGAAGTGAGAGGTCAACAGAAGTCTACAGTATTGTGTGACCAAGCCATTGAGGAACTAAACCAGCATAATGCTTACACTGCATTGATTATATGCTTTATAGGTTTTTCATTGCTCAGTTATCATGGTTCAAATAGATGCAATATATCACATCATTCATAACGCTTTGCAACATACAGTATCAGTATCTGAGGAAGTAATGCTGTACATCATACAGTTATCTACATGTAGCATCCAGTCACACTTTTCTTCTGTTTGCTTTCCATAGCCTGCTGACCAGGGCTGCGTTTTCCAAAAGCAGAAGTGGATTGTAGAGACCACTGGTGCTAATGGTTTTTCTGATCTATAGGCTTATGATGCTTTTGGGAAATACAGCCCAGATCAGTGGGTGTTCACCATATACACACCTAATGAGAATTATGACACTGAAAATGTCAGCTTCCGTTAATCTTGCAATATACTTATTCTTATTGTATATCTATTTCTATAAAAGGCTAAAAGGTAAATAAACATCTAAATAAACATTGGTTGCAGTTTCTAAATGTTTTTTGTCTGTGTATTTATGTATATTTGTATGGAAGACCAGGGCTATC